TTAATTCTTCTCAATTGCGTTGGCCGGCTAAAATTTATGATAGGGGTACTTCCTAATTAAATTTTAAATACTGCAAAAAGAAAAGAAATGGAATTTTTATAGCGGAACCTACAAATAAACAGGTATACGTTGAATTATCGGTCTTTTTTGGCCTTTTTTGTTCTCGGATTTGGCCGATTTTAGGCCACCTGAATTATGTACCACTACCTCCTGGAGAAATACATTTCGTGGTACGCATATGTACCAATACGTAGTCAACGTGTTAAAAGCGGTAAAATAGTTTGTGTCAGCATTTGTAATATTTCACCAATCGGCAACAAACCAGACTCCGCCATATTATCATCACCGACATCACGAGGTTCATTTGGTCGAGTTCCTTATTTAATAACAATTTCTTTGTTATCAAATTTCATCGTTGATGCATTTTTTACTGTGTACATGAAATTTTATTTCGCAAAAATTTAATGGACCAAAGTAAATACGTCTTACGTGACAATTACAGATGTACAAATATAAGTGGACATAATTAGTATGCCTTGAATAAAGTTAAAATCAGAATGTTAATTGAAATGGCCCTCTAAAAATTGACAGGGAAAGAATTAAAAAATATTATTACATTGAATGATTTCAAATGAATGCAAGCTGATTCATGGTATGATGACTTACAAAGACCGTAGCAGGACTGTGACGTGACGATGAGACGAACCTCTAAGGAGCCTTCATCGAAATGATGCCCAAAGAGCGGGCGCGTCATCAGTGATAAGCCTGTCTCTTATACACATCTAGATGTGTATAAGAGACAGATTAATGAGGTGCCCTAATGACCCGGATCGCCACACTAATGCGTGAGCCATTAATGAGGTGTCCTAATGACCAGGATCGCCACACTAATGCGTGAGCCAATAATGATGTGCCCTAATGACCCGGATCGCATACTAATGCGTGAGCCGTTAATGAGGTGCCCTAATGACCATGGGTCATTATGCTTTTCCCGGCTTCTTTTACAATCATGCAATTTTCTTTTCAGATCAGAGAGCGACTCGTTCCAGGCGTCATGTTAAGAAAGCTTAGGATTCACTTGGGAAATCGACTTTGAATGGCATCTCCATTATATGCGGACCTTAGCACACGATTAGCAGGCTGAAATCACGATTAGGCACGAATTCTCTGTACATAATATCTGGATTATGGACGAAACTGGAACGAAGTTTTTTTCTGATCGACTAAATATACTTTTTCTAGTCAAGGATACATTTTTTCACGTCATGGACGAATTTTTTATCGCAGGGATATATTTTTTCAAGTCATGGATATATATTTTTATGTCAATGAAATATTTTTCTTCACGTCAGTGATAGATTTTTTAAGCCAACAGTATATTTTTTTCAAGTTGAGGATATGATTATTTGAGTTGTTAGTAAATGAATGAATGTCATTTTCTTTATTACATTTTTCTTATTTTTAACTGTAAAGTGCTGTTTTATCATTTTCAAACAAAAAATATGCAATTGTGGTAAAGGGACCAAGGGTGGGGGCCTTGCCCCAAGCCCATATGGGCCCATTGCCCCAGGGGTGGGGCAATGGGCCCAATTTGACACTTTTTACAAAATAGTGTTTCATTAAAAATTGTATAACTCTATAGGCATCTAATTCACATCGTGCATTCCTCATTAGTTGTACCTTCAAACAAAACAAAGAACCACCTCGTATCAATTAAAACTTCATCAAAAATTAAGTTAAAAAAAAGTGGGGGGCGCGCTGCCCCAGGTTGCCCTATTATTTGCTAATCGGATTCTATCCTCTATATACGAGAGGGCAGTGTGATTATACCTATAGTAATTACCTCGTTATTGACTTTGGCTTGAATTGTATGTTAATTTTCTGACTTTCATCACTAATACATATAATTTATTTATCATAAAATACAAAATATTATAGCCGAGTTTTGTCATGGTGTTATAGGAATTAAATTCCTGCTAATCATATCTTCCGTCCGCCTTTTTCTGACTTGCCGACAATCCACTCGTTTATCAATAAATATCCATATATCAATTCATCTATATTATACCCTTCGTCTCCTTTTGATATTTTTCATATTTTAATTGTTTAGCTAGGATTTGGGATTCATTTCACTCAAAATTTCAATTCACAGGACATATAATTGGGCAGAGTGGCAGTAGAGACATTCTGGGAATCGTTCAAACTTCGAAAATCAAATAAATATTTGTGTGTAAATAAATATTTCTGGCGAAGAGATCAAGAATTTTCACGACATTTGCATAGCTTTCATTTTTTTGGTAAAGTTATGATAATGAGTGAAGTGGAACAAATAAAAGTTCAGAATTTTTTAACTTTTATAGGATAGAGAAAAATCACTATTTATGAATTTAGCGAGATTTTTTAGACGTATACCTACTAATGAAGTTGTGGCAGTTGGGGTTAAAAAAGTTATTTCGGTTCATAATTGCCCTGAACAGATAGAATATAACCATGAAATACATATTTTTGCACGCTGTTTTAGTTGATTTACGTCGATATCATAAACTCGATGGTTTCATAAAATGTACTACGGAAATAAAATTCATTGTTTTATGTCCCGAGGCTGGCGAAGGGGTGAAGTAATTGTGTTCCTGGTCGATGACGGCACGCTGCATGTACCAATCTAACGGAGTTTTAAATGCGTCATGCACGCGAGGCATAAAACTGTAGCATATTCTAGAATAAAATAAGTTTTTAATCCTGAACTTATGTTCATAGCTGCTGATTAAGCTGGAATGTTTAAAGTTTGACGACTTTTAAGATTAGAACACAACACGCCAAACGAAAGAATGAGTTGTTTCTTGAATTGGTTGGTTTTCACTGACTAGAACATATTTCAATATAGTCGATCCCATTTGTAATCTTCAACTTGACGAATGCTTATAGTTCCGATTGACTCATTGATAAGACCTAAAATTCAATGTGCATTTTATCAAAAGTTAACGTGAACATTTTATTTATAATTTAAGGTTATTTTTTAAATTCAGGATAATTATTGCTGTATATGCATCATTTGCTCAGAGAAACCGATTGCAAGCTGGGGTTCGCGACTCGCGAGCTTATTCCCTTTCGCGAAGGAGCGCTTTTTGAACGTGCGTACAATTAGAGAAACACGTGTACGTTTGTGTACAATACATATAGGCGTATTGGTATTAAATTGTAGATTTTCTAGTTTATATATGCTTACAATTGATGTCCAGAGAATGCTTATTTTTACTTGACAAACCTGCCTTGTGCTTTACCAACGTCATCTAAAGAATTGTTCGACTCCTTGGAAAATGGGATGCATTCCCTGGTCGTTAATTTTACACATATATAGGCGTATGTACATGTACAGTTTATGTGCACGTATAGAGCAATACTCGTACGTATGTGTGCCTTAAAAAAATGTTCATTCTCTTCATGTTTACGTATAGAGTGCGTATACTTTTCGCGTCACCACCTCAACCAACGAACCTTCGTGCGGCTTTCAAAACTCTTCACTCACTGAATCAATAATAAAATATTCATTCACCGATTAAGCAGGCGCTCCAAGTTAATCTCTGGCCTCATGAATTTATTATTTTATTCCACGTGCGCTCCACTGCACAGCTTCAAAACGTCAACGGTTTTCACTAGTCAGGCGGTAGTCAAGACATGGTTTAATGCTACTGGAAAATACTGCACCAAAGTATTGATCGCTCAATGAAGTATGCAGCGATAATTTGGTAGGTAGTTACACCGATGCTTGTTCGTTGACGGCGAGAAAATAATGAGGGTTTCACTGTACTAGCGTCAGTCGAGTAAGATAGTGTGATTTTTCGAGCTCCAGCTTCGTTATAAATCCTAATTATAAAACAAATCGTACATTTTAATAAACATAGATAAATACAAAGAGAAATTTTTTCAACGCTAGGGTAAGTTTATATTTTGCGATTATTGAGTTTGTACGAAAAATTACTTAAAGCATTGGAATGCATCGCAGCCTCGGCACAGGTGCAAGCAACGGTGTTGATTGTGTTCACATGTTTCGACTGATATTTATTTTAATTGAAAAAATGTCCTGTCGCTTCAACCGATAATTATTTTAATTGGAAAATAAATCACTTGCTTCGAATAATTATCTTCTGACTGGTAAAATATTCATTTGCTTTGACTTGGAATTAATTCAACTGCAAAAATGTTCGCCAGCTCGGACTGAATACAACTATTTTGAGCTAAAAATGCTCAATTGCATGGACTAAAAACCTTATTTACAAAATGCGGAAAACTATTCAGAATGTTTTTAAAATTAAAAACTAAAATTAATTTCAAGATATAAATTTCAGACAAGATTCATTGACAAGTAAACGAATGACAATCGATTAATCGAACTGAGATCAATTTTTATCCTAATCAAATTAGTTTCTTTCACTTGCTGAATATTAATAGAAATGTTAGTTTAGCAGGAACAATATGTATGGAAGACCTGGTTAATTGTGAATAATTTAAATAAATAAATTTAATGATGTTGTTATCCGGGAATTCATCGATGTGTTCAATTATGAGAACTAGAAGGGGAACAATTAAGTCTTTACATTAATCTGTGGCAATGATTAGATAATTTGATTTTAATAGTGCGGGAAGTCGGCTGTAGCCCACAAACTCCCCTACATGTTGACCCCAGGCAGTCAACAGCTTAGCTTCGAGAAGTCTATGAGAAATTGAGAGGAAGACTGGACCTTTTTGCCATAGAACCCTCGTGTATGAATCTAAAATTTCACTGTTCATTCCCTTTCAGGAAATTTCATAACTTTTAAATTAATTGCTTCACACTCTCGAATAACGATGAAATATCACTAGACATTTCATTTGCAGTCATTCCATGCACCTTATCCTGGGTGCACACCGCCCCACCGCAATGAGACTCGCGTACCTGCTGGTGCTGCTATGCAGCGTCTGCGTCGCGGAAAGGGAACTTGAAATACACGACAATTCCATGATGATGGATGCAGACGTCACTTCGAAAACTGTAGTCACGAAGCCATGTGAGTATCAAAAGGGAATAGAGATTGACCATTTGCGAGTTCTCCTATGAAAATATTTTTACAACGTTCTAGTCATAATCATTGTAACATTTTTATTTATATTTTATGTACAGGAAATTTAAGACAGAATTTTGCAGGTAAATGCATCATTGATTGCTACGTGAATCCAGCCTGCCAAGCCGTAGCCTCAGAAGAAGTTTCGACCAACGTCACGTGTTATTTCAGTCTTCATTTCGGCGTTCAAACCAGGCTCACTAGCCGAAATACGGCCACCACCTACGTCAAGAAAGGTGACGGTGCTCTCAAGGCTTTTTCGTATGCTGAAAAATGGGGCTGGACAACAGTGTAAAAAATCAACACAAACGAGTATTTAGTTTGCGCTACTTATTTCATATATATCATTACATAAATTTCATTTTCTTCTATAATATTTTATTCATTTTACAGAGTGCGCAGACAACTTCGTCAGGCTGGGAGGGATTTGCTACTTCTTCTCATCGGAGATGGCCGACCAAGCCACGGCCAAAACCAAGTGTCCTGCAACGAGCTCGCTGGCCTTCCCGTCTTCTGGTGGAGAACTGACCAGCTTGGTGGACTACATAAAGAAAAGTCAGTGTTGAGCGGCAAGCGTAATTTATCGCATTCGTTTTCATATTCTCCCTCTATCACATTTATTCATATTGTCCACTACCCCATACACATATGTGGCATTCTTTCATCGATATTCACCAAGACCAAAACGTGGGAAATTAGTTCCATGTGCATAGTATAAATTAGGGAGTCATAAAAATAAGTTATCTTGCCAACAGAATTAATTATCTTGTGTGACAGGAACTCTCGAGGCCGAAGTAGGCATTTCCACAATATGCCTGCAATAGGCTGAATATTTTATAAATTTTTGGGCAATTTCTTGAAAAAATCGCAAATGCTGATCGAAGAAAAATATAACTTTTATTTTTGATAACAAAAGTGTACCAAAACATTAGCGAGACCTCCCTTTTCAGTGGGTGGAAAGTTTAAGTTTCAACTAAGTAACAATGTAACATAAAACATTTCAAAGATACTGAATTCATTAAATTGGGATTGTGTTAGGTGAACACAATAAAACTTGAAAAAAGTGAATTGGCCCGAGCTGCTGCCCGGTGGAAATCCTCTGAATCGGGATCAGGAGCTTCCCCTGGCCAGTGCAAGCCAGCCAGGTAGCACAGAGAAACTGATGCACTAAGTTCCGTGCGGTCTATCCCATCAAATAAAGGCCAACTGATTTGAATGAAACGCTACAAATTTATGTGATAGAAAATTAGCATAAGCTAAATATTAGGGTCCAGAATATCGTCAAACGTTCAAATTTACGAACCTAGCAGCTGTGCTCTTAAAAATGTATGGTAATTTTAAAATAAGGGGGCTATAATAAAATGATTAACGAATGAATACACATTCAGCTGGAAGATAAGGAAGGTTTGATTTTTTGAGTGAGAGTAGCAGTGGAACTGAGACAGTTGTTCATAATGGAAACTGGCAGGAGCTTCAAGTTACCTCGAAACCCTGAGCTTCAGTGTTGGGACAGTCAATCTGCAGCATCCGGTCCTCTCCTGCATGAGGTCTCGCCGAGACCCGTCCTCCGTGAGAAGACGAGCTGCTGCTATCGCCTTCAGATCGTCCCACACCTCAACGCTGCCATCACAGACGAGACACACGCTGGAAGTCTCACTCCATAGTGCAGATGAAGCGGACGATCAATAGTGAAGATGTGGCTTCGTTGGCAGTCGTAAAGAATCTGACTTGTGGGCTGGCTATGAACGGTGCTGGAAGCTGGATCGAGCTTTAATCTTCAAATTTATAGATGAAGAAATTAGGAGGGTTGCCTGCGCCGAATTACAGGAAATGCTTTGTATCGTAGCCGGACAAACTAAATCCTGTATAATTCAAATGGAAATGAAAATTGTCTTCCAACCGGAATTGTTTTCTAAAAGATAAGAATTTTTTACAGAAGTTTGAAATATTTCTGTTCGAATGAAGATGAATAATTTCTTATTTACAGACAAGGCTGACGTAGACAACTGGTACGTGGACCTCAATAAGACGAATGACAAGTGGTACTGGGGTGACGGCGTCAATTATAAGGGCGCTATAGAAATCTACGGCAACAACGAGTTATGTGCCAGACTTCGTGGCTCATCCTACGAGCTCGCGGACTGTCCCTGCAGCACAGACTACAACTTCATCTGCCAGTATACCGGGCAAGCTTGAGGGAATCATTTTGAGACAAGAACCTTTACGGGCAAGGCATTTCGGGAGCGAACTGTTTCGTGCAGGGCACCGAGCTGGTCTTGGACATGAACAGGCATTGCGTCTCAGATTTAGTTGAAGAACTTATGTTTTACGCTTAATCAACAATTTCCCAGGCAATTTTCTTCAATTTTTTTACAATTTTTTAATCAGGCCATTTCATACCTAACAGGTATCTTTTAAAGAACCTATGGAAACTACATATTCGATAAATATATTATTTAGAACTCATTGGGATATCCTCCAGAACACTTGACTATATATCAGCTTGATTTAAAAATAAATGAGAGATTTGTGTGGTTTGGTCCTCGGTACCCGAGAAATGAAGCTGACGAGTAGAGGTTCACAAGCACGTGGTGGTTCATCTATCCAAGCTGCAAAATTGTGAGGGTTGACATTATATATTCACGTATTTGTGCGAAGATTAATATGATCAGTATTCAATACTGATAATATATTATTAGTATTACCTGAAAAAAGGTCATTACAGTCGGCAAAAATTCGTTGCCTTGGCATCTTTAAACTCACGTTGCTCCAGTCTTCGATTTATATTAATCACAAATTCATTTATGGAGCACAAATATTTATAAACTTAAGTTCTCTAGACAATTTCCAATTTTAACGGAAAAAAGTTGGAGAACCTACATGATGTGTAACTATTGGTTTGGATGAACTTTATTTAGAAACTAAATTCAGCACCTGCTGAGCAGAATATTTATCGGCCTTATCATGTTTCGCCTTTAAATGAAGAATGAACTACAGGACCAGTAACTCACGCGTTTCTAAAATTGAAATTCTATGAAAATATTTAAATTCTAATTAAAAGCTGAAGAAGTTCCGGCTTAACATTTTTTTAACATTTATTGTGTTTTGACATTTATGTGAAAATATTTTATCTTCGCACAGTTTTGAGTGCTTTCATCAGCCGCACTTTACACGAATAAAATGGCTAAACATTTTAATGGTGTTTTATCTCACAGTAAATAGTCAGTGTATATTTGAACAACTAAAAAAACTTCGTTGAGTGAAAAATAACTAGAAAATAAGACTGTATAGACGCTCTTGATACCCACCAGTTCAAGAGGTTAAAATCGAAAATTTAATGTTTCACGCTGATTTGACAGCAACAGAATTCAACATTTTAATGAAATATCTAGATAAATGTGCGTCATAACATCTCGAGACATCTAACAGACGATATAGGATCTTCGCAAGCAACCATGAAGGGGTTTCCTAAGCTGAAAAATTAAGGAATGTTTTCAGTACAGCTGTACCAACGCTCTTTAGCGTGACCGGGACTGCTACGCCTTACACAAGAGACGATGCGCTCTATAATGGCGCCACTGTGCGTGAGTGCGACAGAGTTGCTGAGCAAAGTCCAGACTCTCGAGTTGGACTAGCAGGAAGTCGTGCTCGTGATATACATGTGAGTGTGGAAGAAATGATCCAATTTCATACTCGCTACCATTGACCAATTGTGGCACGTTGATGTAAGTCAGCGCGGATCTGTTCATGCCTCAGAGAGCCGAAAAATATCTTCCAAGGCTCACTTTCAAATTTGTCGATGACGTTTAAGCGACGTGTCGAACTGCCGATCAACATTTAATTTACGAACGATTTAACTGCAGTAAAAAACGACAGATACACGAGTTGCGTCCCATATTTCCCATATTTCGTTTCTCTCATACATTACATTATTAACACAAACTTTCCTGAAATATTCTTTCAAGAAATGTTTTTTATTGCGTGTTCGTGCATATAGGTGCTTTTCAGTGCCTTGATTTGCTGCCAATATTTATGCTATGTACCGATTCAGAGCCATTTAAAAGTACATTCTGGTAAATGCTACGTATTTTTCATGCTCTCGCAGTTAATGCGTGCAAGTTATCAGCCGAAATGAACAATTATTTAATTTGATCAAAACGCAAGGCATGAGTGCGTTTCTTGAGCACTTAATTTATAGAGAATAGAAATAACTTGATAACAAACAACGGCATTAACTTCTTTGAGGTATTTTGAATGTTAATGAAAGGTTTTTATGTTAGTTGCAATGCGATTATAAAAAGAGAAGAAAAAATTAGATCAGTACTCACTGCAGTGAGTGACAGAGCGAGCATTTTCTCGTGAAGTGAAGTCACGGACGGACGGACCTGACGAGAACAATAACGCATTTTTTCAGAAGCGAGAAAATGCGCTAAAAATGGTGCAATATTAATCACTTACAACGAATCAATGCAATCGATACAAATATATGTTGAAGATTATGGATACCTTTTGCATAATACATAAGGTGAAGAAATAGAGCATCTGCCTGTATATTGTGTGTGTGTGTTCAACGTTAACTTATGCTGTATTACGCAATGAATAACTCCATTGCTTCATGCCAGTGGCTTGCAGGTCACGGGGTTGTAGCTCGTGGAGAATTGCACTGCGAAGATGACGTACGTCAACACTATGGATACCGTCTGAAAATATCATCGTTATAAAAATTATCTTCATTAAAAAATGCAATAAATTTTAGTTCTAAATCTCGGTCGAATATCTAATTAGCGTGAAACATTAGGAGACCAACCGTATTGTTGCTTAATCGTGTTACTAGTAAATAGGAACTACAGGGTTCACTACCGTGAGCCCAGCTCAATGAATGGCTGTGGACTGTGGCACACAACACTCACCGACAGCAGCAATTGCTATGCCAGCGATTGGTGCTGCAAAAATGTCGCGAACTTGTAAGTGAATGATATAAATTCTTTGGGAAATATTACTTCTAAATATTGCAATATCGTGAGACTGGACCCCGGAGTGGTTGACATATGACCAATAACTGAAAGCAATCTTGAAAAATTCCCACAACCTCGAGTTGAACTCTTTATACCATGTGAGTTTTCATGTAGATGAAGATTAAATATCAACTACTTGCCGGCATGCAAGTAGTTGATATATTTTCCTGCCGAAATTTAGTTCGCGCAGGAAAACCTTTAATTTAAACTTTAATGTCCTCGACAATGGATAAACTGTTTCACTTCGTTTTAGTCCACAAAATAATACTGCAACTTCGAGGTTAAACGACCTCAAGCTTGAGATTTCCATTCGTATTCAGCTCGGTTGTTCTCTTTTGAATTTTCATATATCTTATATATACTATTTAATTCTCAGATGAGCCACAAGGAAATACTCCATGCATGACTACTAAATACTACCAATTTAGTAGGATATCTCTATTGTATTTAATTCCCACATGGACGACAAGAACACTACTCGTGCATAACTATATAGTTCTAACTACCGAGTTTTCTGTAACAAGAACCGCCGATTTGACGTCGTCGAGCCCACTAGCTTCAAGTGGATTTAGAGTTCAGGTAATGGAAAAAAAAAACAGATGAAATAAAGGGGTGATGAATTTCGAAAGAAATATACTGTGAGAGTTATTCACAGCTCTCTAATTACATATTTTCAGCTGAAATAGTTTCTTTAAATCTCGCCAGAACTTAACGCCATCGGATGAAAAAACCGCTACCCGTCAAAAGAGTTTTCAATGCTATATTTTCACATGAGTCAACATTATTTCTTAAAATTGATATGAAACAGGAAGCGATTGATTTCAATAACAATCCTAACACTCTCCCCTGGACCCGAAAGTTTACTGGTGAGGGATACGTAGAAATTAATTACCTCCCTGAATGTAATTCAGTCATGAGCGTCGCGATTCATAATAATGATCCAAGAGCGGGGTCAATGCAGCAAGCATTCGTGCAGGTGTTGGTGGTTTGCTAGATATAAAGAAGCTATTTCAAACAGTGAAGATAAAATTAGCAAGTATAATTAGTACGCTTCAGTAGGTTATTTAATGCATATTTAATTCGGAAAATTAATTTACATTCCATCAATAGAAATTCTTTACCATTTAATTACCGTCCTCAAATCTCAATGCCTCCTGTTGGTTCGAAGCCATGTAGTAGATTGCATATTAATTATGATACTTGTCTGCCTCTTTATAACGACTACGATTTTGCCCGGCCACTGCCTAGGCTTTGCCACCACCAGTTTTAGACAGAGTCGTCAGGCCCTTGGCAACTTTAAATAAAGTCGCCACTCGATCAGGTCGACTTGCGCAGTCAGAGCCGCGCTTTTGCCACCACCTCACGGTCAGATACCACATCTCTCAAGCCTTCAACTCCTCCATCAGAGAAGGTCGACTTGCCCGGCCAGAGCCGAGGTTTTGCCACCCTCAATTTTTGGGTCTCGAGGATTCGCGGGTCTCGAAATCCTCGCGCGTTAGGTCCAAGCCAGGTCTAGTTCACCTACTTTCAGAGCACAGTAGGCGAACCATCCCTGACTGGACCTAACCCTGAGGTCCCTCGCTTCCACGTGCAGCAGAGGACAAGGCCTCTGCCACATACGCAGCCCTCCGGAGGATAGCACGACACCGTCGGGGGCTATAACTTGCTTGATACCTCTTGCTTGCGCTGCATTCTCCGGCTGCCAGCCGCGCTTTTGCCACCACCTCATGGTCAGATACCACACCTCTCAAGCCTTCAACTCCTCTATCCGAGGAGGTCGACTTGCTTGGCCAGAGCCGAGGTTTTGCCACCCTCAAATTTTGGGTCTCAAAGATTCTCGCCACATTTTGGCAATCTTGCAAAAAGTCGACACCAAGCCAAGATCGACTGATTTTGCAGAGCCGATTTTGCCCGGTCCCAGCCGGGCTTGTGCCCGGCTGGTACAGAGATGGTAATGGTACCGTTGGATAGCTCAGAATGTTAACTTTAAGATGAGACTAAAAACCGGAAAAGCCAAACCTGTCGATTTTGGACCTACATGCTCCCCTTAAATAAATTGTCAGTGGCTGTCGGACAAAAGCGCCTCATCAAGCGGCGGTTGCCAAGGGCAGCAGCGATGCCCAAGTTTTGCCTGATAAATAAATTCAACTTCTGTGACTCGTCATCGTGAGTGCCCAAAGCGTGTCTGCTGATCACCATTGACTAACATCATCAGTGTTATTTTT